GAGAGAGAGAGAGAGAGAGAGAGAGAGAGAGAGAGAGAGAGAGAGAGAGAGAGAGAGAGCCGGTGTTCCACGTCCAGCGTAAGGCGATCAACAGCAACGGAGGGATGTTGGAGGGGGAGGATCTGATGACCCTGTCAATCTGGACGCTTAAAGTACGCGGCCATGCCCCGACTCGGGAACCGTAAGCGCCGCATCCGGCGGTTCCCTGCCCCATCGTCCCCGTGCCCGGTACGAGTCAGTTTGGATGGCACGACGACCTGATGAGGCCGCCGGCTATATAGTCTCCGCGTGAGGGGCGACCGCCGTCGACCGCGGTCACGACGCCGACGATGGCCAGACCTCGGCCCTCGATACCGTCGACAGCCGGTGGGGGCCGCTTGGTGGCCAGAGGATCGGACGGTCGCAGGCGGAGCGGTCGCCGACGGGAGAATCAGCGCGGCACCCGCTCCTCCGGTGCGCCTCCGGTGCGCCTTCAGTGCTTCCCCTGCAACACTGATGATACCGCGAAGCACCGGGCCGCGAGGCGCGGCGACGACTGGCCTGGCTTGGAGGCGTCACTGGGTGGCGCGAGCGCAGGTGCAAGCGCCATCGTCCCCTGTGCTGAAGCCCCGCGAGCGCCTTCCGCACCGGCTCTCTGGCCTCGCTGTGCAGTCCCATGCGGTCCCATGCCGTGGCCCGCCCGGGGGCTGGCTCTTGCCTTCCGAGCCGGGCACCCACCCCGCGTCGTATCCCCACGGCCCGCCAGATCAAAATCATCCCGACCGCTCCTGGCCGTGACCAAGGGGCCGCTCGGGTGGGCGAACGGGATGCCGACGGCGATGGCGGGCGACGAGGGTCGACGGAGGATGCGGCGTCGGACGAGCCTGGTGGTGGTCCCTTCGGCGCCATGGAACGCACACGCGTCAGGAGCGCCGGAAGCGGCAAGAGGCTCGTCTCCCGTCGGGGAACAGGGCGACGCCGTGGTCGACAGCGACGTACCCACGGTGCGGTGCGGCGCGGGGTGGTGCGACCGCCGGCATGGCGCGTTGTTGGTCTGCAGAGGCCGCCTGTCCCATGGCACGCCCCGATGGAACCCGTTTTGCGTCATCCATCCGTCATACCCGCGCATCCAGCCGCATCTCTCGAGTTCCATCGGAGCATCGCGGCGACGCCGTTCCGGCCCTTGGGCCGGATGGTTCGCGAAGCAGAACCCGAAGGCGCACAAGTCGTCGCATGTCGCGAGCAACCGCGTGGCGAGACCGCGATGGTGGCAGCTCAGGATGCGCCGATCGCCGATGGGCCACGGCACCGACGGGCGAAGGCGCCAAGGCGCAGCGTGGCCGTCGGCTAACGGTGTTTCACTCATCTGATGGAACGCCTTCGCCCCCCGTCCCCTGAAACACACGATTGCCGGGGCCGGCAGGCTGGATGGGCTGAAGCGGGCCCCTTCCCCGACCTGTCCCCGGCATCAGGGACGGAGGGGTCGGCGTCGCCACGCATCACCGCGCATCATCGTGCACCCTCGCGGTGGCGCCGTGACGCTGGGCCCCTGCGGCGGACGTGGGAATCTTGATGCAACGACATGATGCTACCAGCAAAAGACGTCGCTGCTTCGGAAGCCAGGGAGCACGGGGGCTCATGCACTCTCTTGCTGTATGCTCCGACAGTTGAGGAGGTCGACGCACGGGAGCGCGGAGACGTCGCTGATGTGCAATGAGTAACTGGGCTGATGACGACAATGCTTTTTGGGATGGACGGATTCAGCCAACGAGGGTCGTCCACATCGATCCCGTCATGCAGCCATGATGAGCGATGCGAGAATCGCTGCGCAGCCAGGCAGAGCCGCAACGGTTCCTCGCGAAGCGACGCTCTGACGGGCCCCTCTACTTGCTCTCCATGCCCGATCGCCGTCAACAAGCGAAGCGAGTGGATCGATGGACGACATGGAAGGGGGTTCCCGATACGAGCACCGCATACTCGATTTGGCGATGATGAACCGATGATCGTCATCCTGTGTGGCACGTGCGATTCTTGCCTTCGAGCCGCGCGGATTGAGCGTGCTGCGTGATGCCAGCATCAAGGGGCCGGCCGCCCCGCACGGGGACCCCCTCTTCGGAGGCCGATGCGGACGCCCTGCCCCTGCCACGCGCCGTCGGAGCGTCGGCCGGAGCGCCGGTGTGCCACGTCACCCAGCGCGGCCGTCCGCACCCAGTCCGCCGAACGCCGGTATTCGCCGGCAGCACGGCCACGGCGGCGGGACCTTCCGGAGCGAGCGGGGATAGCCAGGCGACAGCCCGGACTCGCCCGCGGTCCAGGATCAGAGAAAGGTCGCTTATTTCTGACTGTCGTGGGTCATGCAGGTACGGCTGGGTGGTCCTGCATGGATCAGAGCGGCCTCGGAGTCGTCGGAGCTTGTTTTGAGGGCGATCGTGGGGTCCATGTCCGTTCCGCCCTACCTTTCCGCGCCATCGTGCTAATCCGAGTGAACGATCTGCTGGACACGCCGTTCTGGTGGCCGCTGCAATACGGATCATTGCATTGTGCGCCTTTGCTCGCCTTCTGATCATTGCCGATCTCCTCGAGAACCTTTCGTTCTGTCGTAGCTCGCAACAGCAGTCGCACCATCACATTCTCCATTTTCCGTGCGACTAGCCACTAGCCAGACGCCGGACGCAGGCCTCGCTGCGCACGCCTTCGCCGAGGACAGATCTCTGTCCGGACATCGATCGGCGACCCTCTCAGTCCTTCCGAGCCGACTCTGGACGTTGTGCGCTTTCTTCCCGCCCTGACCTCCAGATTCTCGGCACCACCTCACCTCACCGGATTCTCGGCACAGGATGGCTGGGGGTCGGAGGCGGCCGAGCGTCCGTGGCGGGCCGGCGACCCCAAATCCGGACGCAGCACCCGCGACGCCCGCGACGCCTGCAACGCCTGCAACGCCTGCGAGGCGCCCCAATTCCAGAGGCCGCAACATCCCCAACAGCGACGGCACCGTCCGCGGGCCCACGTCGGCGCTCACCAGCTTTCTGCGCGAACGCGGCATCTCG